ACACCAAAGACACGCATACATATCATAAAGAAAATACCGTGTTCCATTATTTCATAAATTTGTAACTTACTAACTCTAAGAGTCATGAACGAAACTTCAGTACTATCCTTTAAAATATGCAGAACAAAAGTTCAATACAAAGATATCAGTTCGATTTAATAATACCTTGAAAATTTTAGGATAAAGAAGAGATAAGAGCGCTCTTAAGTGCTCAACAAGTACGTTCAGAAGTCCAGGAGACTGACTAAGGATGGTTGGTGGGGCGCAATCATCGTAGAGCATAACGTTGAGTGCATTGAGTGCCCAAGTAGCTTCCGTTTCCATACCGCTGCGAAGGGCCATAGTTATACGCTTTGGACTCACCTTCAAATCAAAAACTAAAATAAATATTAAAAGGCTGATTGCTGCAAAAGCTTAACTCTTAATCTTAAGAAGCATTGGAAGAAACGACACTCACTCGTATCAAATCTTTCATCAATAATTTTGGCCTCCTGCGCTGACTAATGGTCGTAGCTTCTACACTTCCAGCTGGGAATTGCATTGGTTGAGACTGAGTAAAGTGCGTGAAAGGAGGATGCACCATAGCATTACTCGTCGCAGGACTAGGAGCCATACTGGGCTGCTGCGGCATGCCACCTGCAAGAACGGTTAACCCCACATTCGACTGCCCCACTGATCCGGCTGCCACAGGTATCCCCGTAAATCCAGCTGATGTTGATGGTCCTATGTGGGCATGGTAAGGGCTCGACTGTGGCACAACCATTCGGTTACTCTAAAATGCAAATATATCAATTATCGACTAATGTCATTTCATAAAAAATAAATTTATGCAAATATTTTCAATTCATGTCTATTAAAATCAATATATTTATACTTCACATATGCACTGTAATTATCGCATAAATAAAAATGACTCCCGCAAAACCGTCACAATTTTTTGATACATGACTTCATAGTAAAAAGACGTAATCAATACCTGAACCAAAGAATGTGATGGATACTGTGGCTGCAACTGCTGGTGAGTTGCCGAATTAGATGGTGCTGAATACTGAAATTTATTTCCATTACAACAATCCCACTGATTTCAAATACAATGCCGATTAATAAAAGATAGTTCATTATGTGAAAACCTTTGATAAATGCAAAGTAAATTTGATTCTTTTTAGTATAGATGTCATAGATAAACATCCTTTTAATAATACTATTTGTTTTAAACCATACAATAACACAAGTAAAAACTAGCTCTTAATCGTGCAGCAGTTCCTGGAACAGCAGAGGGCAAAGGTGGCCCAGGGGTTTGAAGGCAAAAAAGAGGCCGTCTTGCAGCATAATGTTGCTGCATTTCAGGAGGTAGACTTCCGGAGACCCGTGGGACCATTGCAGAACTCATCTGAGCATTAGCAACAGAAGATGACGTTGGCATATTGGCATGAGGTCCTGGATACCTTTGCATCTGCTGCGAATTCCATATCTATAACCAAGTCTTTTCAATCCCTATGTAACAGTATTGATATGATAACATTCTTAAATCATTTAATTGAATCAACATCTTTGTGTCTTAGACCTTTGTACATACGAACTAGTATTCACTTTAAAACTGTAGAAATAAACGCAAAAACAGAAACCAACTTGCTGCTGGTACATTTGAGGTGTTACACCAGGATGCATTGCTTGATAATTTTCAGGATAAGTGTGACCGGTGTAGCCTGGTGGTTGCGACTGAGAATATGCTTGTGGATAGTTGCCTGCTTTCATGGGCAATGCTCCAGGTGGTCCCACTCCAGGTCTCAAGCCAGCTGTACCGTACATTTGAGGTACGTGGGACTGGCCATAATATGGAACAGCTGAAAGAAGACATGTTACTTTAAATGTTTTAATAACAATCCATACAAGCTATTCAATCAATTATAAATTCATACTTGGTACAACTATTGTAAACATATTTATAGCACTGCAAGTAAATTAATCTCCTGCGAAAAAACTTATTCCAGTTTACTTACTAGTTTGTTGTTGAGAGGGCATGGGTGGAGGAATGCTACAAGGAGTTGCCGCATTTGGTACTTGCTGCGGATGACTTGGTGGTCGCAATGGCACACTCTCTTCTATAGATTGTCTGCTACTACTATCTGGAGTGGCAGCCAAAGGTGGGCCTGTGCTGGGAGCTCGACTTTGTGAACCCTGACCTTGCTGACTTTCGACCTGAAACTAAACAAAATAAAGAAAAATCTTTAAACTTAAAAAAAATGGCTGCTCCTGGTCGCATCCTTGAATGATTACTGACCAGCCCTACTTAAATAGTTTTCAATCAATGAATCAAGTATTAGCGACATATATCTACTTAAATATACAATTTTTGCTTTCGTAAATGATATTCAAACCTGTAAGGTTGATGATGGAGTCGTTGTTCGAGGTAACTGATGAGCAGCATATGCTGCCTGCTGTTGATGAAAGTAATGCTGTCGCTGTTGTTCTTCATACCTCTGTTGTTCATCTAATACCTGACCTTGCTGAAAATCAAGGAATAAATGAATTTTATTTTGACGACACTATTGAACTTATATAACCACACACAATTTATATGTTATCCATAATGCTTAATCCGAACATGAAGACGAGAACAAAAATCATATCTTTTAAAGCCAGCTCTTTACCTGCATCATTTGTGGTGGCAACGGCGGTCGCATGGCTGCTCCTGGTCGCATCCCTGAATGATACATGGGGGCATTTGGCTGACCAGCCACTCCTGGACCAGGTGGATAGCTCTGAGGTGGCCAACCGACTGGACCCTGTAACCTTCCTTGAATGTTTGGGTCCACGTTACCATAGTAATAAGCTGCATTAGGATCGGCTAGATGAGTGTATCCTGCTGGTCCAGGCTGACCTAAAATCATTTTTTATTCAACAATAAGGACAACGTATATAAAACAATAAGTTGCTTAGTAGATCAAGAATACCATCCGTTGCTTAGCAAATCAAGAATGCAACTTTTTTTAAAAGCATTAAATCTGTATGCCCTAAGAACAATCAAAGGACACCATTAATCAATCAAATGCATTTCATTTCCTCACTCAGGTTTTTCAAATTGATATTTGTGTGTGATCAATTTTTGAACATATCTATTAAATGCACAACAGTCAGTCAGAATCAGTAATGAGTACTGAAATGGTACATACCGAAATAGATTTAATCTCTCTAGCAGAGATTGCAGAAAGTTTAAAAACAAAAGCGCAAATAATATCAGTCAGACATTTGCTTTGTAGTAAGTGAATGAGAAAATGAATGAAGAAAGTAGTATGCTGATGTGGAATTGGAATGCAAGAAATGCTTTCTAGTGCATCATTCACACACCCACATATACGAGATTGAGCAAGACAATAAATTAGAAACATTAAAAAGTGAGGAATGACGTCAGGAGAGAATAAGTGTGGATGGATGTGGTCAAGAAAGTGAAGAAAAAACAGTGCGAACAGAATAATGAATGCACAGACTGCTTGCATCGCAACACTAACTCGGACACTCTCGCCTATCTATCTTTGAGGAATGAAGCAAATAAAACATTTACGATGTAACTAACGTCATCTCTCTCATTTCCTTCGACAAATGAGTTATTCAAAAAAATGAAAAGAGAAGCAAATAACGCAATACACCGCGGCAAACATCTTTCCCCTCAATTTTTGCATCAACAACAATTCTTGTCCCGAACCGCAAACATCTTTTCCAGCCCAGTCTCCATGAATGCTTGCTTATCATTAACTAGCAAGCTAGCTAATGACAATGATTAAGTAAGTTAGCAAGATGCGATACGTGGCACTTACGTACTGTCAGAATTTTTTCAACAGACTAAGACTAATAATCAGTTACTGCACTAACCCAAATAAGACAAGCACTGTGTGAATAAGATGTGATTACTTCACACCTAACACGTGCTTGCTCCTTTCTTACTAATTGGAGTACTTTACTTATGTAATCTATTACTAATTTTATCTTTTAATCATACTCACAAATGTAGTGAAATATATCGATATCATGTCCTTGATTCTTCACTAAAACAAGAAGGTGAATGGGATACAGAGCAGCTCAATGCCGTAATTAAAGCATATCGTGCCATCCCTGAACCTAAGATCATTTTGCTCTGTTAGTGAAAAAGACTTTTTCTAGACATGCATCAATTATGACATCTATAAATCAATCAACTTCAAACTCTGACTTCGATTTCAACTTTTTCGATGTACATGTCAGGTTTGCTTCCGTCCTTACACTGCGTAGTAAAAACTGACGTGAAACCGTCACTACATTCTCTGTCCTTTATCATCAAAGACCACTGCAAAAATACTCCAATCTTAGCTACTCTAGTTGAAAAGAATTATCAATGACCATATTTCGCTAGACATCACTAATTTTTACACAATTCATAAACTTCACGCAAGTATTGTTATATTAGTATAATGTAGAGTACACATTTTTGAAACGATGAAGGACGCATAAAATTTCGCTTACTTAGACTAGAGAATCCCACGCAATACTTTGTCAAAGGCATCCCATGCTGATTGTGACTAAAGTTTGTATTATTCGCTGAATACAAACTAATTCCCTGATTTGTTTGCCTTTGTTGTTGACAAAATTGTAAGACGTACTGTGCGTACGAAGATGCACTATAATTATAAAAGCTGCTCGCGTTACTATCAGAATCAACAACATGAGGCATTATTTGTGACATCGGCATGTGATATTGCCGATGTGCAGACAACGTAAACAGATTCTGGAGTGCGGGAGAACAAGGCAAAGCTAAAGAGCTGTTTGGATAACGTTGCGGAAAGTATTTTGACCAAGATATAAACTCTTCTTTGGCAGTACTGCTCGTAACGTCTGTAAATGACGAGGAAATCATTTTTGAGCAAATCAACTAAGATGTTATGTATGATGAAGAAACAGTGATTGCAGTAAGGTAGGAATGAAAGCTGACGTTGGAAAGTAATTGAGCTACTACACTAGCAGTAGTAATAGTTCACATAGTATTTTCGCTCAACCAAAAATTGATGTACTTGCAAGGGACATTTATTTCTAAAAGCTCAGCATGTCATACTACTTCACTTTACCTGATAGCAAGCATATGATTCTCAGTAGTATGTAGCAAACAGCTGGACTATGAGTAGTAGGTGGTATGTTTGATAAAGTGCTCCTGATGTGCACTTCATTATTTCATTCGACACCAACATCAATAATAACTGCTCATTATGAATCCACTCTTTGTTACATTTGAAAAGCAAACAAAACCAGAAACGCGAAATTGCTTTGATAGAGTTTTTTTCGCTGCACTGATGACAGCAAGCTCATTTGACAGCGACAAGAATGACAAGAATAATTTTGCTGCAGCAAATCAGTAGAATGGTACTTGAGGTAGGAGTCAAGTGTAAAATGCTGCTAATGCGAGCGAATGCACCCTTCGGAAATCCACTCCTTGCGAAACTTTTAAGTGTGACAAAATAGTACTCAACTAGCCAAGTAAATATCGCACATGAATGTGCGGGAGAATGAAATTCTGAGCAGATTAAGTGCAGAAATGTTTGGACAGATGGCCGTACACACACATATTTATTAACTAAACATATACATGCATGCTGAAGATAGTAAAGATTTAGGAGGCAGAACTGTAATGGCCTGATAGCAAGAATAACTGAGTGCAAGGATCAGAGAGGAGAAGTGAATGCTATTGCAAAGCTGTTGTGCTCGATGTCGATGCAAGCGAAGCGCAAAGGCAAATTCGAGCTAATGCCATTCGTTGCCTCGCTTGTCTGCCCTTGTCAGTGGCCGCTATTATACTGAGCTTCATCTTCAGCTTCAGCTCTCCAGCATGCCTTCAGTAATGTCTTCTACAACAGTAGCAATAACCTTGCATTCATTAGCTTGGATGACATTCTCCCTGTAGAATTACTTATCATCTTGCCCACTTGTTCATTCTATTTATTTATCTAACCACACATCATTGCCCGAGTTAAGTCCGTTTAAGTTAACTTCCTCGTTATAATTGCAGTAGGAGCGGAAGGCAAGTAGTATTGGGGAGTAGTTCGTCCGTTACCTTGGTATCAGCAATAACACCTTCCACCTTCTTTCTTTCTTCACCACAGCAAGGTTGAAGCTAATAGCTTACTTTCTCCCTATCAGCTACTATCCATCCCTTTTTGCCAGCTTTCAAGACAGCAATACTGGAAAATGTCAAAGCTTTAAAATGCTTTCTTTCTTCTACATTTAACTATCAACGATTTTGTTCTACAATACTCCGTTTTTTATAATTCATGCAGAACGATCTCCTCAGCCCACTTGTCCTTTATTTTTGCTTCCATCCAACAAAACCTAATAAATCCAATCTGAACATTTCGCGCATGGAAGCCATCAACCGAACTTGCAGTAAAGAATAACGTCTCCAGTTTTTCTCCTTTACAAACTTTATTTTTGTAAAACAATCTTGATTGTACTGATTCAGAACCACGTAATCCACGATCAACTGCACACTCATTGACATAATTTTGAAAAAAGTACTTGCGGGACAAAAAAGTTTGCTTTGAAAGAAATTAGTCTTTCTAATGATAAAATAGGAAAGAATTGAATGAAAGACAACAAAAGACTAATTACCATAGCTATTATTGGTATTAGATACACGATATTGATAAAAGTTACAAGTATGATTTAAAATGTTTTGTTCCAGAAGTTAGCTACTTCCCATTTGATATTTCATATAGTCTATTTTCATTTAATTCCTAGTAACATCTCTAATATCGCAACTGTCTCAGCACCATGCAGAAAACCCTTTACTGCAGATAAATGTAATCTCAGTTATTTCAGTGCTATTTTCAAGTGAACCAGACTTATTTCACTCAAAATATTCCCCATCACATACCTCCCAAGTACGAAAATTTGGTCTGGAATGAGCTCCTCTACTGTATGCCAATCAATTTCAGTATGAGCTAATTTTAATTTTGTACACAAATATCAATCATATATATTATAACAAAAAACATCCTCAACTACAACTAACAATACGACATCCTATTGCATTCCTTTTTTCTACTCATCCTTTGGCCACTTTTACAAACCCTTAATTGAGAGGTATTGCATTTTTATTACAACCCATATGAATCTGAAGAGCGACATGGAAATTCTTTAATAACAGAATGGAAAACTAATCCTACACCTCACAAATTTTTCCTATATTTGTCCACTGTCATCATGTTTTACCAAACATTAAATACCAAGTCAAGTTGTTACTCAAACATACACACAAGCAGCGATTACCTCACTAATTACCGCTTATTAATTACCAAATCTCAACAGTGCTATTAAATAAAATAAGCATTAAGCAGCAGAGGATAATATGCTCACACGTTAGTACATCAAATAGTAAAAGAACCTATCTACAATCTCATGCTAACAAAATCTTAAAAAACAGCCATGAATCAAAATTAAGATACAAAAAAATGTTCTCAAACTGACTTCAAACAAATGCTTAGAGTGAAGGAAAATCTGCCACTTTTATAGTAGAAGCAACTTACTAATCAGAAGTAGACAGCACACTGACAGAAGGTGATGACACAAACGGAAATCCTTTCGAAGAAGCATAATGCTTGAATAAAAGGAATACGGAAAATGAAATGGCACAGTTTTCTTGCCCCCTCTATACAGAAAAAACAAGTACTACTGCTTTCCTGCCTTCGTTTCAAGCATAATTCCATTACCATCCGTCATTACAAGAGGAACACGTGAACGAAACGTAGCTACAAAACGATGTTAGCTACAACACAAACTTTAATGAAAGGAAGAATAATGTTAATGAGGATAAGCAAGACAAATCTGGCATGCTTTTAATCACACTTTTTTAGCAACATCGATCTGATCGTAAAAAGAAATAAAAATGCTGTTTTGATACTTACTAAAAAAGGAATGAAAAAAAAAGAAAAAGAAGAAAAAGTGGGAATAAACAGATTAAGATGAAAAAAAAATTTATGTGAGAAACAGATGGACTAACAGTGGCAATACGCCAAGGCAAATCGAATTTCCGATGATGTCAGAACAAAATAAATATAAGTAACGGAGCATCAAATGTGAGCAAGATGGATAAAGAAAGAGAACAAAGTGAAGAAGTAATCTCTGATTGCAACCACACCAAACTATTGTCCTCAAACATTTTTATGGCTACTTAAACGTGCACATCTGCGACAGTACAGAATGCTTTTAAAAATAACAAGACAAGGACAATTCAAACAAATTCTACTTCATTCATAATGATACTCAAAGGACGTAATAAAATGACGTGTCTGCTTGTTTTTTTGTCTGACTCAACTCAGCAGAAAGATATTGCAAACGAATAATAAACTTATCCTTTTATCTCGTTATTTTTAAACGCTTCAAACTATCACTCCTTCCCCCAACACATTCACATTTATTACTTTCAGCATTTAATTCAGGAATATAGGTATGATGTATTTCGTCTTCTCTAACACACCACAGCCACAGTAGCCATTATCATGCTTAAGCGAGTCGAACATTGCTTCCAGCACTATTTTTAGCCCAACTTTACAGAACATATGTCTTTTACAACTAAGAAAACAGAGTGAATATATGATCAATGCAAATTCTGAGTCATAACACTCCAAATATTAACTACAGAGGTCTCTTCTTCAAGAAGTAGGAATATGTATGACATCATTTTAAATTAATGTCCTCTCATATACAATATAAAATTCCTGTTTGCCATGCAAGACCATTATAACTACATCCGAATACATTTATAATAGCTGACCTGGAACAGGAAATTGCTGCGCATTAACATCTTTATCCTTCCGACGTTTTTTCAAGCGTTCAGCAAATGCTACTATATCACTAACGCTTTTGCCAGTTTCTAAACATTCTAATCCCAGCAAATACTTTTGATAATGCCGCCTCAATTGATAACCTGCAGCTGATGACTCAGACATTTCCGAATTCGCCTCTGTACAAACGTGCTTCCACGTTTTGTCACGCGTCACCTATAACCATAAACGACTTAATAACAAATTAGTGCAAGTAAACAGTACAAATATCAACTAATACAAACAAAATGGAATTAGTAACAACATGCTTCACCTAAGTACGGATTAAAAAGTATCTTGACTAGCTAGATTCAGAAGAAATTAAAGAAAAACAGAGTTTATGAAATCATAAAACCATACTAATTACCTGTTCAAAACCACCTCGTTTCATTACAGCTAGATATAGACGATGTAAATCAACAGTTTGTTTTGAAACCTGTGGCACTTGTGTAATTGGATCGCCCTGAGGAACCGTGATATATTTTTTAAATAAGAGAAAGGTGGCATTTACATCTTCTAAATATAATGAAATCAGAGATAAAATAATAAATAAAGCTTAATCAAGAAATACGCAGAAATATTTCCTCCATACAGATTTAACAAATCTATACCTGTTGTTCACAAAATTGAACTAGCTTCTCAAAAAAAGTTCTCCTTTCTGGCATTATGTGCTGAGGATTCAATGTAGTTATAGGCCCTACCTGAAATAAGTTAAGGCTTTTGAAAACGTCGAATTTATATACTCAACCGATATAAATATTTACAGTTCGAAAGTAGATAAAGCGAATAAACATGGTCGTAAAGTAAATTTACCAATCTATCAATAATAGATGCTGGATCTTGTCGTCTATTTACTGCTGGTGTATTCGGCCGATTAGCAGATACTGGAGTTCTCTGTAAGTAAAAGTATTGAAATAATCGGTTTTTTAAAATAAAGAATGTATCATTAAGCAATCATGAAAATATATAATATGCCAAAATTTAATAACAAAAATTCGAGATAAATTTAAAATGAAGTACTTACATGTCCTTGATTCATCTGCGATGGAGTATGAGGCCATGGATTAGGCGAAGCACCTGGGAGGGATCTAGAATCTTCCAAAGATTCATCGGCAATTGAAGAAGCTCCTCCTGGACTTGGAGCTGGTATTCCTGCAGACGGAGTCATCGATTGCTGACCACAAGCATTTTGCTGTACAGTTTCCTGTATTAAAAACAAACTGAAACACCTTATTAAGAAGTGATACACTTCACTATTAGCATTAGCCATAGATACCACAAAAGTACAAAACTGATGCATAACTAATTATACCTTTATGATAACAAATATTGCTCATTAACACTAATAACTGAAGACAACAATGATTTTACTTGAAGAGATTTTGAGACATTGATTCTGGATTGCCAATCTGATGGTACTGGCCCATTTTGCATACGAGGCATTTCCATTTGCTGTGGTTGATGCACCTTTGCAGAATTGGTAGGAAGCATCGTACGCGCTCCTGATGGCATTCCATATCCAGTAAAAGCTTTAAATAGAGAATTTATTTAAAGGAATATGTAAATCATAGATATCAAAAAAGATTTGATATGAAAAACAGTGCCATCCAAATTACCTGAAGACTGCTGCAAGGTTCCTTGACTTTGCATTTGATAGTAGTGGCCTGGATGAACATTTCCTGGCTGCATGTAACGCATTTGCTGAGGTGGCCAATATGATGGGTACATGCCAGATGGATAGCCTGTAATAATTCGAAATTTTGAAGCCTTTGCATACTGCAGAACCGGAAATTTTTGCTTTAAATAGTAATCTAAACTGTGATACATATACATACTAATGCTAACCAGAAGTCTGCAAGGGAGCCATATTCTGCTGGTTAGGCAACTGTTGAATTGGTTGAGGTCCTAGAAAAAAATATAATAATGGAATGAAATTTGGCATGTAGCAACCTTTGGTATCAATCGTGTTTCATAATATACAATTCAAGACACTTGCTCAAACAAAAATATTTACATTAATTACGAATAGAATCAGTAAGATGTGAATGATAATGCTACTTTTTCTATTCTGAAAATAGATAAAATTAATTTAAACTAAAGGACCTTGAGAAGAACTAGAAGGTTTCTCGATTCTGTTGCCACCTTGCAGAGCAGAATTAACTGGTGAATTCTGCATGTGTATCGGCATTTGAGGTGGTGGTCCACCTTGTCCTGCAGCTGGTGAAAATACGACATCTCGAGAATCAGACCTTCCAGTCGTCTTCCCTTTGGCATTACTTTTTGCTGTACCAACTGAGGTAGAAGTGCTGTAGCTGCCATTTGTGAGCGATGGCTGCTATAAAAATTTGAAATTTTTTAAAATCAATGTACCAATTCTAGAAAATAAGAATAAAAAAATTATGAATTCAACGCCTGACACAAAAATTTTTAATACCAATGAAGTGTATCAGCGGTCGTGTTGTATAAGAGTAATCTTGTAGTCCCATATGTTTTTTTTCCAAATTAATGATACTTTACTACTCTGAAGAAATGAAACACATGTAACAAAATTGAAGGATACACAAATACCTGCTAATGACCAGCAAATGTTAAAATTTTCAGTAACTACAATTGCATAACTGTTTTGTTTTATTAATTGCTGAATTGTTATTTGGTGACAAAAAGAAGAGCTAGCAAATTTCCATGTAATGAGGTGCTAGACGATAGAGAGAGTTGTTACCACAAGCACCATTCGTATTTGCCATTTTTCTTTTAAAATAATTAAACATACTGCAAGTGCAGAGTGAATGATCATTTAGAGGATATTCAATTTATAATTTGTGTATGAAAATGAAATATTCGCGCAGGTCAAACAAATTAAATCTCTGCATTCTAACATTATTACTCACACACTTTAAAAATTTAAGTAAGCGAGAACATCGTTTTCTTTGGCTATTTAATTATTTACATCAACAAACACTACACTTTCTGCATCTTTTCATGATTTTCATTTCCAGTCACACCACTTTAACAATCACATCATTAAAATGACGAAGTTGACAACATTGTCATTGTCGTAGTCATGGTGGTTCTATTATAATGTAAATTATTCCCTATTCTCTCAACAATAAGAAACCAGCCAAAACCAATGCAGTGAATCGTCAACATCAACACCATGTTTACCGCATCGAATTATACGCTTTCACATAACCACGTGTTCCAACTTTAAATATTCGTTTTTTTTTTCTTTTTTTTCCTACCAAAAAATCAAATAAAGTGCATGGGAATTTCTTGAAAAGCAATAAATTCCCCTTTACAGCACATAAAACCAAAGTTAGAACTCATTACTTTACTGCACACTGCTATTTCCCTCCGCACCATGTTTTTTTTTTTTGCTTTTTTCTGCTTTGTATTAATAAAATTAACTAAGCCTTAGTCATATTTACTGTTTATTAGTGTACGAGACATAAAATATGCACTAAAATTTCCCACACTCACTACCTGGCATCGTATTTGCTGTACAATACACAATCACCTCTCTAAGCACAAAAAACATTTCTCACACTCACCACTATGGCAACGCATTTGCTGTACAGTACATGATTAGTTCTTAAGCAGAAACATATGTAAGACATCTGAAACTTATCTCACAGATTTGCACTGAGCATTTTAACGGACTATACGAAACTTAAATGTATAATTGCAAATATATGATTTGTACTAACACTATCAAGTAAGTCTTACAAGATTTACTGTTTGTTAGCTGACAGAGAGCTATTGCTTGCATAGCTACAGTGTTTTCACACTATAATAGCCAGCTAAATTAAAACTTATTGTTTGGATTGCTCTGTAAAAAATAAGATACAGAGACAATAGTGTGGAAGAATGGTGCTAATAAGAGCGATGCAATAATTCTGTAACATTTGCAAGTTATGAGATAGATGTGAGTATGCATGCGTTGATAATAGATTATATAATGAAAACAGTAGATTTGCAAGGGAATAACAAGGTGTTTGGGAATTAGTTGATAAATACTATTAAAGAGAAGGATTAAGAGGATTGCATGATGTTAGATGAAATGACGCAACTAATAAAATATGTTAGCAGAAAAATGCTTTGTAAATTACACTGAAAAGATTACGTATGTACGTATTCATTCATTTATCATATCTCGCCAACATTTCGCAGACACCACATGTCTAATGTCAATCTCATTCTGCAATCCAACAAATGTCTCTCTCATAACGTCAAATTCAAAAACAAATGCAAAAAACGTGGTTTCATACCTGTCATTAATTTAAAATTAAAAACTATAAACAATGTAATGAAATGCTTGTGCTGTTACATGTTTATTTTGAATGCATGAGTATTGCTATGGAACTGACTGCATTGCTATGGAAGAAAATTAAATGGTTGATATATCATATCTATCTACCAGAGAGACAGAAATGAGTGTGTTCTTCTGAGGTCTTAGAAACAGCACATAATTAGCTAACAATAAGCAAAGACTGTTTGTTCATGCTAACATGCTGGTATATTCGAGAAAATTCTTTTCCAGACTGCATACTTGCTACGTGAACTGCTTTTTCATGCGATAGGTTGCGTTGTGTTACCAAATGACAAGAAAGAGACTTGCATTCTGTTGATACACTTACTGACAACACATTCTTTCTTGCTCCAAGTAAGCAGGCAAACTGCTTGCTTTTTCATTCAATCATCAGCTTGCTTCTTTATCAAGACCAAAGGCAACCAGAATGAGAATGTTTGTGTGCTTGCGTGTGTGTGTACGTCTGCTTATGTGTATGTATGTGCACATGTATATGTATATGTATATGTCAGTCAGTCCCTTGCACACGAACGGATTGCAGATGCTGGCGAGGTCGATCACAAACTCCAATGCTATACTGCTATTGCTGTTGCTGTTGATGTTGCTGATGCTGCTGGCTGACGAAAGTACATCCTTTACAACACAGTAAGAAGCCAGCATGGGTTGCTTTGAAACCGGTCTTCGCAATCAATGCACTTTCCCTTCCTTCTGCCAGCCAGTGCTGTTACTTCTGCCACCGTATCCTCTCGTACCACAAAGCCATCTCCTCCTCCAACACTTACTTCATCAACATCAATGGCGCATACACATACAGCAATGCCTACCTACCTACCTACCTACCATTTCCATTCAATGTTTTGCATGTTTAGTATGCAAACAGCACAAAAGGTACTAGAAGGTATACTAAACTGCATTATCATGAAAGCTAATTACGCTTTATGGCACATAAAATTGCTTGCATGCTTCTGTAGAAATTCAAGCTCTACTAGCCCTAACCACAGTTCATTCTTATTCCACAGTGAACTCTTACAACACAGTGATAATTTATGCATGCATCACACTTTCACATAACTACTAGTTTTTGTATTTCAAATGCAAACAAAATGCAAGAAGTGAAGAATATTTTGTAATTTATGCACATAGTATTACTCGCTACAGACTTCACTCTAACCCACATCCCATATATAGCGCCCAATAAATAGCTGAGAGCTACTTGACAGTGAATAAATTTTCCGGCTTCTTTACTCTGCAACTTTTAGACTGTTCATGGAATCATATGTGTCTACATTCAAGGCACGGCAACATGATGACATGATGGCAAACGCATACAATCAATATTTACAAGTAAAGATTTATTTTAAAGAGTAACAAATGAATTAGTGATTACGTGGTGCTAGAAACAAATCATTCACAAAGTATGACCTACATGACCTTATTTCTACATATTCAGATTGATTAAAAATTGTATACACAAAGCGCGAGAACAGCAGCCCAAATAAGCTACAATAAATACATTTAAAGAGCCAGCCATCTTCTTCTGCCAATGTAAGTTTGTCATCGCAAGCAAGTAAGATTGACATGAAAGGAAAAAGATGAAGCAAAAGTGCTACTGAGCCAAACCTCTCACGCAACTGTCTGTCGGCTGCTTCTTTCTGCACAAACGGAAAAAGATATTATCAAATACTAAGTTAGGCACTAAAGTCTCTTTTTCGGCGCAAATCATTGCAATACATGAAAGCTAGCTGCTGCCCCATTACGACAAATGTGCGCCATCCATTCATCAGTCATACAATAAAACGGACGAAAATTCAGCATGACTACATTAATCTCTCTCTCTACTCAAAATATAACAACACTATCAACAACAAGCTAATTAAACAATTAATTAATGTTACAAGATTAATTGGTCAATTCTATCTATAACTAACTGACACAATCTACTTTGTTGTTACAAAGGAGGAAGCTCATAACTACGCATAGTCCACTATTTGTTCCCTCAATCTTTCAACCTCATCTCTATCATATCAACATCTTTTGCCGTAGCTTATCTTGACCCACACTAAAATGATCTCAATTATGTGTTTCATTAATATGTGATACATGAAAGCATTCCAGCCACAAATATGCTTTTTTCTCTTTCATTTGACTAGCAGTGTCTACATGATTCCTCCCTCTATTTACAAGCGAGTATTATATTATTAAAAATAACTAAATTATTCAGAATCAAAAGCTTGCCTTTCCAACTTAACATGCAAGTTAGACAATGAAAAAAACTTGTAGAGCTGCTTCTATATAGCAGCTATAATATAGAAGTAAAAGACTTCGTCTATTTCTGAAATGCTGATGAACGAATAAAAGGAGCAAACATTACTTCTGGTTTATAAAACTGCTACAATTTAATCAATCACGTGCTTCGCAGGAATTTCAGTCGCCAGAAAAAAGTATGCATAACACGCTGCTTGCGACATTTTGCACTGACCACACCACTTCTTTCTGATCTTTCATCTCTAACTGTCATCAATTTTTGGAATAGTTAGCGTTACTAGAATACTTAAAGCAATATTCATTCATTCATCTTACGACAAAACTATTCCTTTCTCATGCTAATGGTGAAATGATATTATTATTTGCATAAGTAATCGACGACGTCATCTGTGTTCATCTTTTTTTCAACAACATGTAAGACCATCTTTCTCACTATATGCTTTGATACTGTAATTTACTGATATCAGAAATTTCTATTCTTTATCTAAATTTACAATGCGCTACATATAGCGTATGCATTATAACATCACACAAAAGCGAATCTTCTCATTTTATCATTATTATTATCCTGCATTTTATTAGAATGGCGTACATGAAGGATCCAGGCATAAATTCGTTAATATAGTAGTGCGATCGAGCAAACTAAATTACCAAGAAATTTCAAAGCTCAGTCCGTAAGATTAAAACATCTGAAGTATTCCACAGACAACAACACATACCGTAGCGAAATTGGGTTGTGGTGGTGCGATCATATGTTGCATATGTGGTGGTATTTGCATCTGCGGCTGCACATTTTGAGGTTGATGCTGTGAGCCCTGAGGTGTCAAACTGTATGCTGGTGTTCCTGGCGCACCACTGCTATCATTTCCTGAAGCTGTACAAATATTTGAAATAAATGTTACCTTGCTCAATTTACTCAGCTATTTAAACATTGGTCAGATATAAAATTTCACTTATGGCTGCTGATTATTCCAATAACTTACGAAGCAAATTGTTAAGTGTAGGAGTTGTTGTTCGTTGTTGTTGCTGTTGCTGCTAAAAATGATTTCTGATTACAGTTACATATAACATGAATAACTCTGAATTTTACTCGCAATATGAAAAAATAATTCTGTAAAAACTAATTTAGTGTATCAAAATTCTAAACTTAGCTGATGATAACTATGCTAAGATTCACTGTTTTATAAAATCGACGTTATTGCAGTTACCTGAACTCCTATATTCTTTTCAGTACAAAGCATTTCCAAACTAATTCAAAAAGTGCAAGCATTACTATTATTGTTAACCACTCCTTTATTTATTCTTTACTGTCTAAGAGCCTTCCCTTACCACTCATCTTGCAACAATGCCAATGTGAGAACTTTGAACGTTTATTGTCTCGTGGATTCAGTTTAACTGTTGTGCTAATTCTATATTTTAATAAATTGCTGTTCTGCTATTTCCTGTAATTTACATGTTTTGTTGCGAAGATAATATATTTTATACCTGCGGCGACATTTCACTATTCGATTTTAAAGATTCAGCAGAGCGAGTATCTTGCGTTATCGCATTAGTTGCCATTGCTAAAATTAGTTATCAGCAGTATTTATAACATATTAGTTTCCAATTTATGTTGCAATCTTGGAGCCAATTTTAAAGTGATCTTTTCATCACGTGCTCATGAAGTTCGCATAAATAACATTTAAAGGTGAATTAACCAGCAATAACTAACAGTTCATGAGTAAAAATTAAAGTAAAAAATGTGATTTAAATTATCTCAATCTAGATAGTCGATATAACAAGATTAAACTGTAAAATTATCAGAGATCTTTGCAAATTGCAATGAAGAATTTAAAAGTAACAAAAACGATAAATCAACGCTACCATTAGATAAGCAAATTACTGGTCCAAAATTGAATAATATTGTATCCAAGCATATATTTAAACCCGATATAAGGCCAAGAATCGTCAACAGTAACGATGGCGTTATGTCAAATAATTAACCAGTCTCAATACAATAATTGTAGATAAGCGGTTTTATCATATCAAAACAGTACAGTAAATAATTACAAGAGACCGAATTGCGTATTTTTATACGCCAGCCTATTATGGTGTCTGAAAATTAGAAGCAGACTGGATGAACAAACGTGATGCTTATTCACATCATGTAAATGAATCACGTGAGAGCAAACAAGAAGGATAAAATAATAGCCTCTTTTTTTTAAAGTATCATGCATCATTTATATACTTAAAATTACCGCTTTTAAAGCAATAAAAGAATGGTTAGATTCCTTGCATGCACGTTTTAAATTATGATGTCAATAAATTATCTGTGCATCCATTACTTCCACATTAATATTATTCAACGATTTGAGGTGAACTTTTCAAGAAGTAAACCCAGAATACAACATTGTTACTACTATATGAAGCGTGGTATTTGCTTCATTATTCGTTGTTATTATACAGATGTGAACTGAATGTTGTATGGAATATTTAATCGCGAGTCAATGAAGAATCTGCATAAAAATGAGATAGAAGAATTATTAAACTCTACTACTATGCAGTAATTAATGAATGGAGAAGTGAAAAATGAAGAAAGTTATTCTATATTAGTTTTTCGGTATTTGTTTGAAGGATTTAAAAATTATGAAGTATAAACTTATAAATGAGACATGTTGAGAGCAATAATTATGACTGAATCTCGATGAATTACTAGAAAGTGAGCTAGAGACTATCCTGATTACTTGATGAAGCATCAAAGTACAATTTGAGTGACGACAAAGATTTTTTAGCAGTTAAAATAAACAAAAAACTTGGTTACAGATAATAGAATGGCGAACAAAAACGTGTCATCTAAAAAATATCTGAACTAATAACATATGGTGAACTTTGACATTTATCTTCCGCATGGCGCAACTACATACAATATTAGTGACAGCTGGGCTCCGAAGGAGAGACATCAGAAAATAGAACAATCGTCATTTGGTTTCTGGTAAAAGCAGCACTTTCTATTAGCACAGTTACTGTGCTAATATTTTACGTGAGCTACTCACGTTTTTATTATATTGGTAATACTGCAG